CAGCCTCTGTCCACAGTGAGCCTGGGCTCACCAAATATTTCTTCTGTCCGTAGTGAGCTTGCTCCATGGCAGCCTCCCCTGCCCCCTTCCCATTCTGGTGCCTCCGATGGCCAGTTTCCCACATGTACCAGCTCCCGCCTGCCCGCCTCATCCTCTGTGCTGCTGCCTCTCTATCAGAGGCAGCAGTGAGGGCTTAGGGAAGCAGTGGCTCTGTGGGATCAGGTGCTTGCTGGGAGACGGTTTAAAAGCCAGCTCCCTATGGACACTGGCTCCAACCTCCCTACCCCTTGCTGCCTCTGATAGAGGCAGAGGGGTGTTGCATGTAGTCGATAGGTTTAACTGATAAGCCCAGGCTTATCAGTTAATCGTGTACTTGACTATATGTTGACATCCCTAGTGCACAGTTGTTGTTCCACATCTCCCTCCCACCCCCATAACTGTTATTTACACTAGGTTAAACAAGTGATTTTTTTTAAGTATAAAAAGTAGGATTTAAGTGATTACAAGTGAAAACAGATAGATCAAAGTAAGTTACTAAGCAAAAAACAAAACAAAACACGCCAGCTAAACCTAATACACTAAGAAGAGTTGTTAGAGATCATTTCTCACCGTAGTTCTTATTTTAAGTGCAGTTCTTCACAAGCCAGAGCTGATCTTTTTCCTTTGACCTGAGCCCAGTAATGTTCCTGCACCCTTCTCATTATAGTTCTTTTCTTTTTCATGTGTTCTTCTGCCTCCTAGGGGAGGGAGGCAATTTCAAATGCCAGCTAAAAACCCTCTTTGTTTGCTCCCCATCCTTCAAATAGAATTTCCCCAGGATGGGAATCCTTTGTTCCATTCTCCCCCTCATTCTGAACAAGTACAAAATTCAAGAAGAATTCCAGTACCAGGTAGCATGGTCACGTGTCTCTGTAGGACCAACTACAATGTGGGTTTACAAAAAAACCAAAACTATTTACAGCTCATTGTCTTGAGCACTGGGCCAGGAAAATTCCTTAAGTGCTGACTTTCACTAAAATAATGGCTCACACTAGAAGATTTAGGTTAACAAACAGGTTTACATTTCCTATTTCTAACTTCACATATAAGAATATATGCACACAATTAGAATATTCACAGTCAGTGGATTACAAGCTTTTCAATAACAGTTTATATGCCAAATTTTGCATAAATCATATGAGTTATGCATAATCAAAAATATTTTCATAAAAATATGGGGGTCCAGTGTCACAGGTATGATTTAAGCAGAAGTGACCTATATAACTTAAATTGCACAGAAAATAGCATGAACTGAAAAGGAGAAGCTTGGAAAATTATTCAGTTAATCACCAGCTGAGTGTCACACTGCTGCCATATGTAAACCTGACTCATAGACTTTAAAGTCAGAAGGGACCATTATGGTCATCTAGTCTGACCCCCTGCACAGTGCAGGCCACATAATCTGACCCACCCCCTCCTAGAATAATCCTCTCATCTATATCTCAGACAACTGAAGCCTTCAAATACTTTTAAGACCCCAAGATGCAGAGAATCCTCTAGCTGTGATCTGTACCCCATGCTACAGAGGAAGGCGAAAAACCTTCAGGGCCTCTGCCAATCTACCCTGGAGGAAAATTCCTTCCTGACCCCAAATATGGCGATCAGCTAAACCCTGAGCATGTGGGCAAGACTCCTCAGCCAGACACCCAGAAAGTTCTCTATAGTAACTCCTATCATCCCTCCATTGGCCTGTTTCCCACTGATAATGAATGGTCAATTAGTTACCAAGATCATGTTATCTCATCAAACCATCCCCTTCATAAACCCATCTAGTTTAATCTTGAAACCAGATAGATCTTTTGCCCCCACTACTTCCCTTGGAAGGCCGTTCCAGAACCTCACTCCTCTAATGGTTAGAAACCTTCGTCTAATCTCAAGTCTAAACTTCCTACTAGCCAGTTTATATCCATTTGTTCTTGTGCCCACATTGGTATTAAGCTTAAATAATTCCTCTCCCTCCCTGGTATTTATCCCTCTAATATATTTAAAGAGAGCAATCATGTCCCCCCTCAGCCTTCTTTTGGTTAAAGTAAACAAGCCAAGCTCCTTGAGTCTCCTCTCGGGTCCACATTAACCCGTAGAGCCAGGTGTACAGCCCCCCCAGCACAATCTCTCATGATCCCCCGAGTCTCCCCACCGGTGGAGTGGCATCATGGGAAACGTAGTCCATCAAGGGCATTCTAGGGCCCAAACGGCCACGCCCAGGAGGCAGCGGCCCCACGTGGGAACACAGGCTAATGCTGAATCGGCTCTTTTTGACATTTCCGACTCAAAATGTCAGTGGTTGTTATGGAAACAGCACCAGGGCAATTCATTGGGGGAAGGGGGTCAGTTCATGGTAAGCCTGGGAAGTTGAAACTGGAATTCCCAGGGAGGGGAGGGATGGAAATTTCCGTTTGCACTCTGCCGCGCTCCAGCCCGGCCGCAGGAGGGACCAGGCGCCCAGCCGCTAACCCAGCCTCCTCTGCCTGTTTCTCGTTTCAGCTGCAGAACAACCTGTGGCCCAGCGCAGGCGCGGGGAGCCCGGCAGGCCCCTGCCTGATGGCCCCCGAGAGCGTCCCTTCCCCCTGCGTGTCTCCATACCCCCACGCCCATGGGACCATCGCTGAGTTCATGGGCATCCCTGGTTCTCCCAGCCACCACCACGGGATCAACTCCCTCTGCGGCTTCCCGCCTTCCCTCAGCAGCCCCGGCTTCAGCAACCGCAAGTCCCCGGGCCTCGGCACGCTGGGGAGGAGACCCAAAGAGCCCGCCGGCCTGCTGGACTGGACCACGTGAGGACACAGCCGCCCGGCGGGGTGGGGGCAGAGCGCACCCAGGCTGTGCTTTTCCTCCCCTGGCTCAGGACCTGCAGCTGCCGCCTCAGAGGGCCTGACCTACTGTGGAGCCCAGTAGCCCCTGCCTCCTGGTCGTGGTTGTGGTGCCGTGTTGCCAGCCCCAGGGATTCCTGCAGGGCTCTTCCTCTCACGCTCTTCTTTGGTCCCCCTTCCAGAATCCCCAGGGCAGCGCCACATTTTCCACCCTGGCGGCCCCACAGCCAGGGTAGCAAGTGCAGGAGGCCTAGTGTAGACGGGGCACGCTCACGGCGTAGGGCAGGAAAAGGCCAGTGGCCCCGATGCCCTGCCTCCTCTGTGGCCACCACGGTGGCACGGACACAGACACCCGCGTCCTACTCCAGTCGGCCCCTTTGCTCCCACCCAACCCGGAGCCCGAGTAAGAGAAGCCACCTGAGATCCTCCCCCTCCAGCCCACTGCACCACGGCACTGCTGCAAAGCTTTCAATGCTCCATGGGCAGAGACAGGGAGGGGCCGGGCCAGGAGAGAGGCAAGAGCCGACCAGGGAGCAACCACCCCCCATTTACCATGTAGCCGAGGATCTGCTGCTGCCTGTGCTTGGTCCTACCGGAAGAGGAAGGGGGAATCTAGGCCAGGACGGATGGGGGCAGAGTGGAGCCTTGCCCTGTGCAGGGGGGCTGGGTGGGGGATTTGCTCCCAAGCTGCAGCTGCTTTTGATGCAGATTTCCTCTGGTTGGAGCCGTTGGCCTGCACTGGAGGCCTTGCTGGGGAAGGGTCATTTCCAATAGGAGGAAACATGGACCACGCAAGGCAGGTACATTCTTCGATGCATCCCTGGTTATTGACTAAGGCCAGGTCTGCATTGGCGGGGAAAACTGCTGCAAGATTCACAACTCCACACAAATTGCATGGCGGGGGCCGACGAACTTAGCAGCAATTTTCTGGGGCAGCCCCACAGCCAGAGGTCGAAGGGAGAAATACTTCTGTCGACTTCCCTCACGCCTCATGACAGCAAGAAGTGCTGGCGAGGATGCCTCAGCATTCAATTTAGTGTGCCTTTACTAGACCCACTAAATCGAACCCTGCAGGGTCAATCGCCAGCACGTCAGTCTTCCAGTAAGTAGAGACGTGGTCCTGTTCTCCTGAGCGCTGCAGGAACAAACAGCAGCAAGAGGGTCTTTGCTCACAGTCTCCACACTTGCCCCTCCAGCCAACGCTCTGCCCAAAAGTTTTCTTGGTTCTCTCCCAGAGCCACACTCTGCTTTGGCCTCTCGCTGCCTACTCGCTGTTATTCCCTTCACACACAGCTGCAACCAAAACCAGTTTCCCAGGTCCTGTGCTTGCAGTCGGTATTCAGGGAGACCCCTCATGCTGCTGGGCTTTGCTCAGACCTTGCCTTGCGGGTCAGTGCCTTGAGCGGTGGCTTCTATTGCTTCAGCTATCACTAAGCAAAGGGTACTTAATTGCTCCCTCTGCTTGAATGAAAGCCTTGCCCACTGGCTTCCAGGAAATCTGTGACTGCCCACCGTGGAGCAAAGACCCACTTGCTGGCAGCCCCCAACACAACGATAATAAAAATGTAACGAGAAAGCTAAGGGAGTGTCTATACTGCTGCTGCTACAACAGCACAACTCCAGGGCTACCCTCACAGCTGGAGCACGGCTACAGAGACACTTCCCACGTCAGTGGATGGGGTTTCCATGGATGTAGCTAACCCACCTGTCTGAGAGGCAGTAGCTAGATTGGTGACAGACTCCTTCCATTGCTCTAGCTGTGTCTACACTGAGGATTAGGTCATCTTAACTGTACCCATGTGTGATGGCGCGTTGGGGGTCCCCCACCTCCTGCACCCCCGTAATGGCATGGACAGACTCCACCAGCCAGTAGAATAGGGGGAGTTTATTGCTTCTCCAGGATACAGCACAGATGGAATCTGATTACAGGGCAGGCCTAGGATGCCTCAGCCCCCCTTGAGATGGGGGAGCCTGGGCCCCTAAATTCCAGCCCCTTTCCCTAGGCTGCTTCCTCCATGCTCCCAGTCAGAAACCTAACTCCCTCACTTCCAGCCCTGCCCCCAGCCAGGGCCCCACTCCCCTTCTTCCCATTGTTCCGCTCCCTGGGAGATCACTGGTCAGACAGGTTCGAAGCCCCCTTGCATAATGACTCATCCCCTGCCCTGCTGCAGACAGCAGCCAGTGGAGGTCACCCACAGCCCGCTGCCCAGCATAGCAACCAGCAAGGTACCCCCACTACATCACACCATGTGCAAAAGGTTTCTCTTGCTCGAGAGACTCAGTGATGTCATCCTCAGTTTTGTGTGTAGACCAAGCCTAAACCATCCCACCAAAAACTGTGTGATCAGAGCAGGAGCCTGTCCTGTGTCTGGAGCAGTTTGCCACCCCAAGCCTCAGAAGGAACTCAGTCTTTATCCAGAAACCAGCCTACATCAGGGGCTCATACAACTGCACATCTTCTGGTGTGAGCTAGGCCAGCAAGACCCCTCTGCCGTTGCATTGGCCAAACTGGGCTGTCTCTGACAGAGGATAAATGGACACGAATCAGGCATCAGAAATGATAACACACAGAAACTTGCAGGGGGCCATTTTAACCTGCCTGCGCACTCACTCCTGGATTGAAAAGTAGCCATTCTTCTACAAAGGAATGTCACTAGCCAGTTAGAGAGAGAGTGCAAAACTGGAATTCATCTGCAAATCCGACACTGCTATGCTGGGTTTGAATAAAGACATGAACTGGATAACGCACTACAAAGCCAATTTCCCCTGCCTTTAACATCCACATTTTCACATCCAAATCTATGAATGGGACTCATCAGGCCACTTATCTAGCTTCATTAACACAGGTCCTACAACTGACAGGTGGTACTTCGCCTGCTATTAGATATATCTTGGTTTCTGTTATTTCCACTCCAACTCATTTGATGAATTGGGTCTTACCCAGGAAAGTTTGCGGTACTGTATGTTTTGGTTAGTCTGTAAGGGTATGTCTACACTACCCCCCTAGTTCGAACTAGGGTGGTAATGTAGGCATACCGAACTTGCTAATGAAGCCCGGGATTTGAATTTCCCGGGCTTCATTTGCATAAAGCCGGCGCCGCCATTTTTAAAAGCCGGCTAGTGCGAACCCTCCTTCTGACTTAAGGGTGCTTATGGCAAGTCACCTAGTCTGACCGCGGGCTCCGTGCGGCGCTGCCCCTTTGACGTGCCGCAGCGGCGTTTCAGAGGGGCAGCTTCGCCCTAGCGCCTATTCGATTAGTGAACTACTTGATACTTAACATCCCTATTCTGGATTGTGCCCAGCAGCCTCAAATAAAGCAGGCAGGAGCAAACTGAATTTCCATAGACACCCCGACTCCCAGGGTGCCCCTCCATTCCAGCTGACTGTGAGGGAAGCCTGCTTCCATAAGTCAGACATGAGCCACTCTCTTCTGCGCTGATCAGGCCTCAGCTGGAGTACTGTGGCCGGTTCTGGGCGCTGCATTTTGGGAAAGATGTGGGCAAACTGGAGAAAGTCCAGAGAAGAGCAACCAAACAGATTAAAGGGCTAGAGAGCATGGCCGGGGCAGGGGGAGGGGAGGGAGACAGAAAGAACTGGGTTTGTTTCTGAGAAAGCAGAGGGGACGTGCCAGCAGCTTGCAAGCCCAGAACAGGTTGTTGTGAGGAGGAGGGAGTCTGCTCTTAGCACACACCCCTAGAATCGCGGGGGGGGGGGGGGGCGCCGGGGGGCCCCCGGCGCA